TCATGGTAAGCGTAATGTAGGCCGTCCTTGGTTCCGCTTCAAGGACAAACTTAAATATAATTTGAATACTGCAAAAATCCCTGTAGAGTAAGTCGAACTTTCTGTTGAAAACCATGCAACCTGAAGAAACACATGCTACCGAGCTAACTTTGAAAAGAATCGTCTCAACCATCTGAGAGAATTAAGATCAGCTAATACATCAATAATATGACGGTCAGCATTCCCATTGTGTGGACATGTTTGCAAATCTCGTGTAGGAATGTTGTTTCATAAAAAACATAAACATAAAACTGAACTGAAAAACGCTCGAAAGAGTTTATCATCATATATCTATCTATCTATCTATCTATCTATCTATCTATCTATATATATATATATATATATATATATATATATATATATAAATGATATAAATACTGATTTATGTTAAATGTACTAGAGTTTTCTAACTTGAAAATGTTTATATATATATATATATATATATATATATATATATATATATATAAATATATGTGTGTGTGTGTATATATATATATAAAATATTTACAAGTTGGAAAACACTTGTACATTTAATATATTTCAGTATTTATTAAACTTCATCAGAAATTTATGAATAATATATGAATAATATATATATATATATATATATATATATATATATATATATGTGTGTGTGTGTGTGTGTGTGTGTGTGTGTGTGTGTGTGTGTGTGTGTGTGTGTGTGTGTGTCTGTGTATGTGTTGGGATCAAATATGGATCAGAATCTGAAAAAATGGTAGAATAAAAACAAACAAGAAATGTTTATAAATTTAAAAACGTTTACTATTTATTCCTTATCCCATAATATATATATATATATATATATATATATATATATATATATATATATATATAGAGAGAGAGAGAGAGAGAGAAATATGATCGAAGCGCTGAAAATTCAAAAGTAATAAACAACCGCAAACAACGAGGAAAGCAACTAAAAAAATCAACTACAAAACTAAAAAAAAATGATGGAAAAAAAAAAAGAAAATGAAAAGCATATTTGAAAAAAAGTGAGAAAAATAGTCGAAGCAAAAAATTAAACTCGAAAAAAAAAATGCTGTGGATAATAAAAGGAAAATATTTCTGGAAAAAGAACGAGAAAAAAATTCAGGCTCATCGCAGAAGGCAAAGAGAACGAAATCGAGCAAGAAGAGAAGCAAAGCGTAGAAAGGAAAATGTCGGATGGAAAAGAAGATCGTAACGTAAAAGAAATCACATATAAAAAGAATAAATAATTTCAAATCTAAATATAAACATGAGACGCATAAATTCGTGCAGAGCAGCCTAAATAAATAATCTGATATCTTAAGAGGTTGGCAACCATTGACAAATACGCCTTTAAGCGATGAAACCCATTTTTTTTATTTCGTTACAGCAGAAATCTGTACGTGTGTCAGTGTGTATTTTGGCGGCGCGAAAAAAGCAAATGTACTCTTCTCGAGGCCATTACATAAGAGAGAAGGACAATGTTTCTGACATTTTTCTTCTTGTCTTCAAAGTAAAGAAGCTGGGTATTCTAAAAGCTGAACAGAAACTATGCACACACACAAATTTATATATATATATATATATAGCTTTTGAATTTGTAGGTGTGGTGAATTGGATCGTGGTTACAATTCCAATGTAATAAATTATGACCATGGAATATTAGTGTTTGAGCCTTTTATATTATATTCTTGCTCTATCCTGGAGATTGAGCTCTACCTGGATTTTATCCTCTTGGAAATATATATATATATATATATATATATATATATATATATATATATATATATATATATATATATATATATATATATATATATATATATAATTATAAAACAGTTATTGGTCAGAGTTGAACTAGACCAGCAAACAGTTGTATTAAAAAAGTCCCAATAAATACATAAAGAAAGTTAAAATATAACATTCTGTGCTTTTAAATTTTAAAAAAAAGTAGGAGTAGGAATGGTAGAAATCAAGGTAGCGTGATTGGCTCATCTCCCAATATATATGTGTATATATATATATATATATATATATATATATATATATATATATATATATATATATATATATATACACACATATATATATATATATATATATATATATGTATAGGATTGGTGGAAACGGAATAAGATTCCAATCACCAAAAATGCTATACTTAAATGATTGCACAATACAGAGTAGAGCAAATATTATTTATTCAAAAATTTATAACATAAACATGTTATATATATATATATATATATATATATATATATATATATAGTACTTTTAGATGTTTTTTCTTCACGAATAGAACAAAAAAACTTAACAATGCCAACTATGAATATGGCCATAACGTATTAGCCATGTTCGGAAATTGAAAACGCATGCCGTATTTTTCGGACTATAACCCGCGACTTTTTTCTCGAAATATGTAGGGTGCGAGTTATATAACGGTGCGGTTTTATATATGAATTATGTCTTCGAACCTTGAGTGGCCAGGGTTAGGGTTAGGGGTACATAGCTTCACAAAAACCGGTCGCCAGCTTCGAACCAGATATGTCCAGATACTTGAATTTATAGGAGTGCGGGTTATATACAGGTGCGGACTATAATGCGGAAAATACGGTACAAATATCAGTAACCTATACTATATTTTCAAAGACGCAACTAAATTATTTGAAAATATCCAAAATTTAGTAAAAAATGCTTGTAAAAAAACAATTACTTGGACAATTTCTACACACACCTTGTCCAAAAAGAAATATCTTGTTCGAACTCAAGAAAATCACAATTATAACCTAATAAGTTTACCTTGTCAATCACTTCTAATAGACCATATATGAATAGAGGGAGTTCGAAATTGCTACTCAAGGACGTAACTATATTTAAACATACACGCGCCCGCACACACACAGATATATAAATATATTTGTGGGTTGCGTATGTGTGTGTGTTTGTGTGTGGGTGGGGGGGGGTAACATAGACCGAACATGAAAGCAACGACGAAGTTTTAGAGAAAATAGAAACAAAAAGGAAACATCAGGAATAGGGAGAAGAAATTTTTGTGAGTAAAATGAGGAAAGAGTGCTTGGAAAATTTGATACTCACAGGACAGATTGAAGGCAAGAGGGACAGAGGAAACCAACGCATAACCTACCTAGCGAGCTCGAGTAAATGGATGGTGGAACAAAAGATAAATTTTATTAAGAGCTACAAAGGTCATGAAATTGTAGAGGGCTTGGAAAATTTGATACCCACAGAACAGATTGAAGGCAAGAGGGACAGAGGAAACCAACGCATAACCTACCTAGCGCGTTTGAGTAAATGGATGGCGGAACAAGCTATCAAAATTCAGTCCATAAAGATCTATCTATCTGACCATTTCGGTCATTTTTAAGAACTATGTGGTGCCCGTGTCGTAGACAAGATTCCGTTGGTTATATTCTGGTATTTTGTAGAGAGCTATGTGTAACGCTGAAGGGGAGCGAGTCGGCGCCAAAAGAATATATATATATATATATATATATATATATAATAAATTGTAATTGGTATAGATTAATACAAATAGGACCTTTAGTCCATATGAGAGCTCAATGTATAATACAGAGCAAATAATAAGAACAATCAGGAAAACACCTTAAAAATCCATTGCCAGTAATAAATTTATTTCGATGAGTATAAGCGTATCCATCTCATTAGACCGACTAGATTTTATAAAATGGAATCAATATATCCCAGACAGACAGATATACACAGATAAAAAAGAAAAAAAAAATAGAAAAAGAAAAAAATACAAGATGACACAATAGCGAAAATAAATTGACCTAGAAAAGTTTTTTTATAGGGACTGACGTTAAGAGGAGAGAAAACATAAAAAAAAAGAGTTTATCTAACGGATAAGGAAAGGTCAAGAGGTAGGAAGGTTAGATTGAAAACAGAATTACAACAATGTGTCAAGTAAAATTTATAGAGGAAGTTGTGTTGGACAACAATGTGAATTTAACATACTTAAATCACCACAGGTATGATACCTGTGACAAATTAAGAATCTTCTCTAAGTGTTGTAACAACAACAACAACAACAATAATAATAATAATAATAATAATAATAATAAGAAGAAGAAGAAGAAGAAGAAGAAGAAGAAAGCATATTTCGTTTTGTGGTCTCCGATCACCCAGACATTGTGATCAGATACCACAAAAACAAAATGTGCCTCCTTATTGATATGGTAGTCCTTGCAGACTGTAATGTATCTTTGATGATCTTCAAAAATCTATCAAAATACAAGCACCATGAAATCGAAATCTCAAAAATTTGGCATATGAGAACATCAAAAATTCTAGTTGTAGTTGGAGCCCTCGGATTGATTGGAAAAGGTTCCGACAGACTAATTGAAGGGATTCCGGGTAGCCCAAGCCTTAAAGAAACAAAAAAATATTGTACTCACAAGGAGAACCCACATCTTACGAAGGGCTTTATCTATGCAAAACGTGTGCGATCTTATTTTTTTAATTTTTTTTTTGAGGGAGGGTTTCCTTAAAATGCTCAGTGGAAAATGTTATAATGCCTTTTCTGACCTTAGGTCTATAGTTAGGACTCGGAAAGAAATGAATATACTCCAGAAATCAAATAATAATAATAATAATATTTATCCTCACGAGTATAGCCCCCAACTTACGAAGGGCTTTATCTATGTAAAATATGTGTTTTTTTTTTTTCTTTAATTGGTCAGTTGAAAATATCATGATACAATTTCTAACCTTAGGTCTCTGGGCGGAACTCGGAAAGAAATTAAAGGAAATAAAACAACAGCAACAACAGCAATAATAATAAGAAGAAAACAAAAAAATAAGAAAACATTTCTAAGAGCTACAAAAGATAAGAAGTTGTGAAAAGCCATGATTGCCCACATCCCTAAGGTTCACGGCGCATTAAAGATAATCCAGATCTCTCTCTCTCTCTCTCTTTTAGTCTGTTTCTCCTGATGTCTATCTCTGTATTTTAATCTATTCTGAATCCGTCTGAATACATCTGACTCCTTTCTTAATCTGACTGTCTTTCGGTCAGTCTATCTGTTGGATTGCAATCCCCCCCTCTCTCTCTTCGATCTCTCTTTCTCTTTTTCAATTCTTTTCCTCTCTATCTTTCTGTCTCTCTTACTTTCTCTCAATTCTTTTCATCTCTCTGTTTCTCTTTCTCTTTCTCTCTCTCAATTATTTTCCTCTCTCTTTCTCTCATTCTTTCTCTCGATTCTCTCTCTCTCTTTCTCTCATTCTTTCTCTCGATTCTCTCTCTCTCTCTCTTTCTTTATCTCATTCTCTCTCTCAATTCTTTTCCTCTTTCTCTCTTTCTATCTCTGTCAATTCTTTTCCTATTCCTCTCTCTTTCTGTTTCACTATCTCTCTCTCAATTCTCTTTTCCTCTCTCTCACACTCTCTTTCTCTCAATTCTTTTCCTCTCTCACTCTGTCTTTCTATCTCTCTTTCTATCTATCTTTCTATCTCTCTTTCTCACAATTCTTTTCCTCTCTCGCTCTTTCTCTCTCTCGATTCTTTTCCTGTCCCCCTCTCTTTCTGTCTCTCTTACTATCTCTCTTTCCTTTTCTGTCCCCCTCTCTTTCTGTCTCTCTTACTATCTCTCTTTCTTTTCCCGCCCCTCTCTCCTTCTGTCTCTCTTTCTATCTCTCAATTCTTCTCCTCTCTTTCACTCTCTGTTTATGTGTCTTTCCTATCTTTTAATCTCTATATTTACCTAGCAAATTCGCCCGCGCCTTATCTACGCGCAATATCTAATTCAGCTCCTTTTATAAATGACTCTTCTTCATCGTCCGTGCGAGTGCCATGCATGCATTTAAGGACCAATTTGAGTCGATTCATGTACACACAGGAGTTATCAGAATTGCAAGAAAATGCAACAAATTAAATGGAAGCATTTTCTGGAAATTACTATCTCTATGATTATAAGCAGGAAGAGGGCCACTGACTTTCCCAAACCTACAGAAATTAGGAATGGTAAGCAGAATGATCTTTAAAAAGGTAAACAAAGTATTAAGACAAATTAGTTAGAAACAAAGGAAAGAGGTGCTGTGTATAAGATCTCTTTTATGTTCATAGATACGTTTTTAAATTTCTGCAATTTTCCACAATATTACGAGAACTCTTCTCCACAATACATTGGGGAAAATTGCAAAAATATTTAAAAACGTAACTATGAACATAAAAGGGACCTTATACACAAGATATTATCAAATGCATTTAGTCATACATAGAAATAAAGGAAACAATATTCAATTGCTATTTAATACCAGTCCTCTTATATGGCAGCGAATGTGGGACGATTTCGTCACCAAAGATGAATAGCCTTGAAGTAAAAGAGATGTAAATACTGAGAATTCTTTGAACGGTGCGTCTAAGAAACAATGAAGTTTTAAGGAAAATGATAACAAAAAAGACAATTGTATTTTAAATAAGAAAGAGACATTTAATGATGAAAGGAGGCTCGGAAAATTTCACACACATGACACATCGAACGGAAGATGAGCAGAGGTTAATAGCGAGGATTTTGTGTAAACAGATGGCAGAGCAGAAAAGGAGGGGGTATTAAAAATACAACATTGTGTAGAGCAATAAATGATAGGAAGTTGTGGAGGGGCATGATAGTCCGCATCTTGAAGAGACACGATCCATAAAAAAAATAGAAAGAAGTCAACCAAAGGAAACACGGGCAGCGTAAAATGGAATCGGTAAAGCAAATTCAAATTCCCGCCTTTTTGAAGTAATGCTCTTGGGAAAACCTCTTCAGCTTAGAGCTAAATAGCAGGGGAGAATGGACTCTCTAGCCTTGATGTTATAAAGATTACCATTTCATTTCCAACCTCCGTTTTCCTACTGTAGACCTAGTAACTGATTGAATAAACGTATCTCTAAAAATGTGTATATATCTAAATCTAGTGGTATTGATGTGTATAAATCAAGTAACTAGATATTAGCAAGAGTATCTATTCATATATATTTATATATCTAGTTAACTATATGGAGGTGAGAGATTGTATTAATAGAATGACGAAGCAATTTTAGTCTGTTTGTGTTCACTTTTATTTATTCTTTTTTTTAAGGCATAAATCCACTTTTCCCTACGCTCGCGTGGAATGGGAAATCGGGGATAGCAGTTTTAATTTCAGACTGATTCGTTACAATCACTTCCGCACAAATGCATTCGAGAAATATATGAATCAGCCCCCCCCCCAATATTTTAAATAGCAGGGCTAGCATATTGCTATTCTTAAAAAAATGTTAATGCTATATTCACTCGCAAAAATATATTATTCTTACATTTCAGAATATATTTCAGGTTTAAGTAACTCACAAAGGGTTGATAATCCATAAAAAACAAATCAATCCCTGCGTTCTGTATATCAACACTTTTGTTACTGTCGTGTCATGACAACCGGGGGATTCAATATTTTTTTTTTCTCTTATATTCTCTCGCGCTCGGTAACTCCTTACGTCTTAGTGGCTTTATTACCTTGCTTGGAGCGAAATGATAAAAGCAATATGCAATCGACAAAAGGTTTTCGAACTTTCCTAATATCGCAGAAATCCCACAAAAGAATGATTAAAACAATGACTTGGAAAATTTATTCAATATATAACTGTTGTGACTGAGTTATCAAAAACAACAGTAGAAAACCGGAATTGGTTTAACAAATTTATTACTCTTTGGTACAGAGAAACATAATGTACAAGAGAATGTTTAGCCGTGAATGATTGTTTTCAACAAAGGCTACTGCTGCTACTGTATCTTAATGTATGGCTATTGTAGAAATATGTTATATCCATTGTCATTCATGACAAAAGGCAGTAAGTATATTTGCGTCTGCCTTTCCATTTCTTCTTATTTTTCATCGTTGTTAAATTGTTCATATTTGGCTCAAATAATAATAATAATAATAATAATAATAATAAGTAGTGCAGGGTTGAAAGCTGAAACTGAAGGTTTTATCCTTGCTGCACAGGACCAATGCTTGCTAACTAGGAATTATCAAGCACATATACTAAAATATTGTGTTAGCCCAAAATGCAGATTCTGTGATAAATATCCAGAAACGATTGATCATCTTGTATCAGGTTGCACGATATTGGCACCCACTGAATATGAAACCCGGCATGACAGAGTGGGCCAATATCTGCACTGGAAAATCTGCAACTTCTATGGCAAGGAAACTGAAAGAAAATGGTATGAACACCACACAGACCCGGTTACGGAGATAGGACTTGTTACAATTCTATGAGACTACACAATACACACTGACAGAACAATCAAAGCCAACCGCCCAGATATTGTTATTAAAGACCACAAACAAAAAAGTGCCTCCTTATTGATATGGCAGTCCCTGTTGACTGCAATGTATCTTTGAAGATATTCAAAAAGCTGTCAAAATACAAGGACCTTGAAATAGAAATCTCGAAAATGGGAACATCAACAATCCCTGTTGTAGTTGGAGCCCTAGGACTGGTTGGAAAAGATTGCAGTAGACTAATTGAAGGGATTCCTGGAAGTCCATGCCTCAAGGAGATACAAAAAATTGTTCTGACAAGTACAGCCCACACTTTACGAAGGGTTTTATCTATGTAATTTTTTTTTTTTTTTTTGTCAGTGGAAAGTGTCATGATGCCATTTCTCACCTTAGGTCCATAGGCGGGATCCGGAAAGAAATGTGTAAACGCCAGAAATCAAAGAAAATACTACTACTACTACTACTACTACTACTACTACTACTACTAATAATAATAATAATAATAAAAGTACAAGCACAAGCTAGAAGCTGTTATCTGAAGAATAAAAAACAACCTGGAGAGTCATTCTTTGGATTTTTCAGATTGAAACGGATGGCTTAATCAAGTCCGGAAGAGCAGTCATCGCAAACTAAGAAAATATCTATCAGATAGTCGATGTCGTCTGTTCTGCTGAACAAATTTGAAAATGAGTAAAACATTGAAAGAACCGGCGTATATTGAGTGGAACTCAACACAGAGAAATCCAAATTAATGGCGAATAGCACACGGAATACCAGTGCCAGAGTCACCTTGGACGGCGCACCACTGGGGGAAGTGTCAAGCTTTAACCCTGTCGAAAGATGACACCTGCAACGCAGAAATCCAAACACGAATTGGCACAGTTACAGCAGTGATGACCAGACGGGAAAGGATATGAAAGAGCAACATCAGCTTCCAACTTCAAGCTCTACAAATCACTTGTATCCACCCTCCTCTACTGTTGTGAAAATTGAAGACTCCTGGCTGAGGCAAGAAAAAAATATCCAGGCGCTCTCGGACAAGTGCTTCAGAAAGCCACTTCGCATCTCTTATTGGGAGCACAAAACGAATGACCATGTAGGGATCAAGGTTAAAAGTCTCGTCGGCTGACAGGAATCTATCCTCGTCACTATTCAGCATCGGAAGAAGTCACGTTTTGGCCACGTCACACGGCATAACAACTTCTGCAAGACCATCGTACAAGGCACGGTGGACTCAAGCGGAGACAACTGGTCGGACAACTCAAAGAATGGTCGGACGTGGCAATTCCGGAACACCTGAGAACCACCGCCAACAGATCATCCTGTAGGAGGTTGGCAGTTTCGTCTGACCTTAGGTTCCTTCGACGACTAAAGCAGTCAACGGACTGATGTCGTTTTTGTCGTCGTTGTTGCTGTTGTTGTTGTTGATGATGCTGATGATGATGATGATGATGAAAAGCTACACAAATATCCGAACTTTGCCAGAGAAAAAATATTATGGAATATGAAAGCAAACTATTTTATCCATGATTGCAAAATTTCTTGGAACGATCCCAAAGGGTCTTGTTTGTTTGTTTGTGTTTTATGGCATATCAACCACTGTGGGTTATTTAATGCCGAATCCAGTTTATATATATATATGCCAAATATATGAGTTTTAAATGCCTATTTTGTATGGAACATTTTTAGCAACCTAGAGCTTATTTGCTTGCACACTGCAAAATAATCCTAGGTATTTTTGTTTAAGTCAAGAATTTCCATTTGATAAGGACAATTTATTTGCAAAATGGTAAAAAGTAGGATATGTTGTTTATACATCAGTCTACATCTTTGATAAGAGACCAATTCTTTTTAGAAAATCCAATATATTTTTTGATTCAGTTTTTGCAAATAATTTCTTCATGTTCTTCGTGTTATAGAAATTTCTACGGATGTGTGTGAGGTTTGTACATTCTGTTAGTATTTGTATTGTAGAAAAACGGAAAGAATTTAAATACGAGGCAGGGCAGGAACTCCTCCTCCAAAATCATTGGTGCATTATGCAAAGAGTAGGCGATGTGATCTATTTTCCTTAGTAATTGTCCATGTTATTTCAAAATATATTATCGGTGTAAATTTCGCATAAACATCGGTAGTACATTTAATGCTTTGCAAGTATCCAAATCCTTCTTTCTCTCTTTCTCTTCCCTCATCACCCCACCTTCTTCTCTCTATTTTCCACCCACTTCTCTCTATATTATGA